TGACCCGACCAGCCGCAGCAGGAGTCGCCCAACCTCTGCGGTGCTACAACTGCAATATGTCGGGCCACCTTGCGAAAGACTGTCCGAAACCTCGAACTCAGAATGGGCCCGCGGGGCCCACCGGACCTTCCCAAATCCCGTTAGCTGCTCCAACCGCTGCAGGACAAGGGAGGGTAGCCACGGTGATGGATACTGGAACAACGAAAATGGTGTCCCCTGCGGCCACCGAGATAGGACCCGATGAGTATATGGCTGCGGCGATGTTCGAACCGAGGACCATTGGAGTGATACGTCACGTCCAAAGGATTACCGAGGAAAGCGACCTCGGGCCTTGGCGCCCGGGGCTCGAAGATCTCACGGCCCCTGGCCCTGAGTACAAAGACGGTCACATCGACGTGTTGGATGCCCTGAAGGCTCTGGATCTACGGATCCCCGTCCCTATTCCCTATCTGCTAGCCATTTCCAAAGCATCAAGAACAGGCGCCGGTTCGAGGAAAGTCGAAAGGGCAAAAAGCCGGTCCTACGAGACCTACCCACAAACGAAGAGTCACAACCCTCGACCTCAAAGGTGCACGAAGCAAACCGGGTAGGAATGATCCAGACCGTAGAGCCGCCTCGGAAAAACCTGAGGTATTCCTCTGAGCCTACCCTATGACTTGGAAAAGCGTTGAGTGTGACTGCGAGGTCTAGGGAAACCCCGAGGCCGCCATCCTAGATTCGGGATCGTCAGCGGTCGCCATTTCTTGGAGATAAACGAAACGACTGGGAAGGGAAGGACAGGTTCAGCCCCTCCGACCAGATGAACTGTATATATCCGCTACGGAGGACAACATTCATTATAAGGGGCGGATAACGAACCTGCCTATACGAGTGGGGCGGGTGCATTGTTTGTGCGACGCAATCGTACTGGATGTGCAGGCGTATGATGTTCTGCTAGGCATTCCGTGGCAGGCGATGGTCGGAGCACGAATGCACTTTGACAGCTGTAAGGTGGTGCTCACATCGGCCCACCCCAAACCACAAACGATACCGATGAGATTGGCGGTGCGTATGCGCACCCAGCCGGCGCCTCGAATCGCTACGAAAGCCCATCAAATGAATATGACCCAACGCCTGTCACCAGGCGAAAATGAAACTTTGTCAGAAACTGACGTGAATGATGTACCCGACCGATATCCGATCCGGGTTCAGGATCGGTGGCGCCATTCTTGGCGACAAGAACCCATGGAAATAGTTCGGAGCGAGTCCGATTGGTCGTGCGCATTCACCTCCGTGGTGCAGGGAGAACCCCTGCTGAGGGTGTCGCGAATAACTGACCTTTCGGAACCCCCTGCGTCCTTATATCTTAGGACGGACCCCCTACCAGAAAGGTTTACGGAGCTTAGGGGATTGTGCGATTTGACTTTTCGGCCTCCCAGGCCCCTACTTACGAACGCAAAAGCTGCCCTGCTGTTGAAGGAAGGGGTGTCGTTTCAACCCCGAACGAGGGAATATCGATGGAGGCCGAAAGAGCTGTTATAGGCCTTTTCAGTGGAACCCTCGGCTGAAAGCGAGCTCGAGAACGACAGTGACATGGAAAACGAACCGATAAGCCCAACAGACAGTCAACTCATCGCGACCGTGCTTTCGACAAAAAACGACAATTCTCTGTTTGGTGCCTCACCCGAAGCCAACGCGGCAGTCCCCACGGTTACATCGACGATCTCCCTCCCTGAGGGAAACGTGGAAGTCCGGTTGCCGGCCCGTGTGCCTGACGACTACAAGCGCCTTCTTCTGGCGGTTATACGGGCCTACCCACAGGCCGTCAGCATCCAGGACCATGATATAGGACTTACCCACCTGATCCAACATGCGATTGATACCGGTGATCGCGCCCCGATACATTGCAGACCGTACCGCTATTCCCTAAAAGAACGATAGCTGGCCTTGTAAAGGTTCGAAAGGGTACGGGAGTTCGAGCGGTTGGGGTGGATCGAACCATCGCTTGGACCATGGTCATTTCCCGTGGTCCTCGTGCCAAAACGAAACTGTTCGATCCGGCAAATTAAACGCTATTACTACCAAAGATGTCTATCTGCTGCCGCGGATTGACGATCTGCTGCTATCGGGTCCGCTCGGGTCTTTTCGAAGTTCTATATCCGACACGGTTTTCACCACGTTGCAGTCCGATCGGAAGACCGACCCAAAACCGCTTTTGTCCTGTTCGAGGGCAAGTGGCCGTGGATCCGGTGTCCCATGGGAATTTGCAACGCCCCTGCAACGTTCCAGAGGACCATGAATATGGCCTTCGCCGAGTTCGTTAACAAAACCCGTTTGACACAGCCGTTGATAAATTTATGTGTGATTGTGTACATGGATGACATTTTGGTCTTTTCCAAAACATACGAATACCATGTGGAACATATCGAATGGGTGTTGCATGCGTTGAAAGATGCGGGGTTCAAAGTGGCTCTGGAGAAAAGCGAGTTTTTTCTGTCCGAAATTTCCTTTTTGGGGTACATCGTCACAGTCGAGGGACTGAAACCTGATCCCAGGAAGGTAGCAGCGGTCCGAGAAGCCCCGGCCCCGGTCACGCTCACTCAGGTTCGAGCCTTCCTAGGGCTGGCTTCTAATTATCGACGCTTCATTCGGGGCTTTGCCTGCCTCGCCAAGCCGCTGACGAACCTGCTGAAGAAGGAGGAACAACTGATCTGGTCGATGAAATGCGAGGCGGCTTTTCAGGCACTCAAGGAGGCTCTGACATCGGCGCCCGTTTTGGCGCGTCCCGATCCGACAAGACAGTTTGCGCTACATACCGACTAGCAGCCGCAGGCGATATCGGCGGTGCTGACTCAGCAAGGAACGGATGGAAGGGAGCATGTCATCGAGTATGCATCGAAAACGCTAAGCCAGGCACAGTCAAACTACGAGGCGTGCAAGGGTGAGTGCTTGGCGGTGGTGTGGGGGGTTCAGCACTTTCGACCGTATCTGTACGGCCAGAAGTTCGTGCTCGTGATGGATCATCGGCCATTGCTGTCGTTGCGGAACAACACGGACTACACGGGTACCTTGGGAAGGTGGGCGGTGAGATTGCAGGACTACGACTTCGACATCCGCCACCGCGCAACCAGGCAGCACGGGAACGCCGACGGTCTGACGCGCCTCCAGCCGCCGAACAAGAGTCCCGCGAACGAAAGGCTCATCCCGTGGAAGCCGATTTCGCCTTCGACGGGACCCGGCTACGGGGAAGTGAATGTCCTCCGCAAGGGTACTGCACCAATCGGAGATGGCGACCTTCCCTTAGGAGGCCGCCACCCCTTCTCCCCTTCCCTATTCTTTAACCCCCTCTCCTGATCCTGAATCTCCTTCGAGCACGCTTCCCAAATCTGTTTATTTTGCACCTTGCCCATGATACCGGACGGGGGAGATCCTCCTCTCGAGGGGTCTAGCTTTCTTCCCTGGGTACAATGTAGTCAATGTCACATCGTCCGGTCCCATGGGAGTTGTGTCCGGTATTGGAATGAGAAAAGTTGGAATTGTCCCAACTGTCGAACGGACCACGTACCTACGGAAAAACGTTATCTAGAAGCCAGAACGGCAGACGGATTTTTGCCAAGTGTCCGTCGAGCGGAAGTCTGGACGGATCTTTTGCTATTACGGAGACTGACAGGCGACCCGCTGACGAAACTTACCAAGGCTGAACGGCGACGTGTCACGGAACGGGCGCACGATTACCGCTGGCAGGGATCCGTCCTTCAAAAACGAAAAGACGATGACGTGGACGGATCCAGTTGACTGACGGTTCCACACCCACTGGCCAGGTTCGATTGGACACGAGCTGCCCACGAGGAGGATGCGGTCCACTTTGCAGTCAAATACACGGAAAAAGCGATAGAGAAAAACAGATGGTACTAGTTGGGAATCCGGGAAAATGTGAAATACATCGTCCGGACTTGCCCGGCCTGTGAGGCCGATAAGGCGCCGATACAGATGCCCCGTACAATAGTGCCTAACCGGGTAGAGCGCCCCTTCCAACGGGTCTGTATTGATACGACGGACATCAACGTGCCGAGAGGCCCTGTTGATCAAGGAGAACTTAATGTCCTTCTTGTAGCCATAGATCATTTTTCGAAATGGATCGAAGCGTATCCCATGACCAGCCGGAACTCACAGGAAGTAGCTTGGTATATTAATCGCTTTTTGTGCATGCACCTGGACGTAGAAGAGATACACATGGACAATGGATCCGAGTTCCAGGGGGAAGTAGAGCGACATCTTGTAAGGGCAGACGTTAGAATTTCGTACTCCCTAGGGCACTGGCCTCAAGCCAATGGGCTCGTAGAGAACGCCAACCAAATGATCAAGACTGCACTTAGACCGAATATCACGGCAGGTGATACCAGACTCTGGCCTGTCATAGTCGACCACATTTTGGCCGTCTATCGGGCTACTCCCCACGGGAGCACCGGGGTGTCCCCGTTCCAACTGAGAACCAATAGCGTTCCCAGAGTGCAGTTGTCACCTCTAGTGGGTACGGAAGTTAGAGTGACCCGGGCCCAACACAAGGACAAGGCCCAACATTACCTGGATCTGATGGCCCGGACTTATCCCGCGTTAGCCCGAAGACGACAAAGGGCCGTGGATCTTCCGCATCAACTGCAGATCCGGGACTATGAGAACCGACACGCGACAGCGGGACCAATGCCCCGTTATAAAATCGGGGACTTGGTGCAGGCACGGAAATCTGCGCGCTCCTCCAAGATCCACCCACGCTATACCGGCATTTACGAGGTGACGGAAGTTGGCGCACGAGGTCAGCACTCCGTGAAGCTGGTCCCCCAGCATAGCACACAGGCCAGGTCGGTTACGCGACACGCGGCGGCTCTTCGACTGTTTCGGCCATGTCCGGGCCGCGAATCGGCTCTTGCCCCGTCCGAGCCTTCGTCCTCTCTCTCCTCCTCTCCTTCTTCGTCTTCTTCCTCTTCCCGATTTGCCTCGTCCCTTGGTGCTGAAAGTCTCAGGGAGCAGGATGAACCATTGCCAGTCGGAGCATGAGCCCCTTGAGCACTTCCAGACGCCGCTTGAAGATCGCTTGTTGCGGCATCAGTTCAATGAGGAAAGGCAGTTGCGATACGACATTCAGCAGGTGAACGTGCCAGCGCCCGGGGTTGTTGATCTGGCGGCATACTCGTTACTTTGTGAGCGGATGACGTATGCGGGGGTGTACATGGATGTGACGGAGTTGCCTGGGCGGGAGACGACTCGAGTGTTCATAGAGTTCCGCGCGCTCCAGGTGGCACCTAACTTCGTGCATAGCGTCGCCACCTTTATCGGAGACCTGACGATCCTGCCGCAGCCGAATCGGGAGCCGGCGCGAAGCTTTGTGCGCGAATACGCGGTGCAGGCGGCGAGATCAGTGGCCAGAGTGCAAGGACGGGGAGGACACCGATTCACAGCCCACGAAGCGCTGTTACTCAGGGCAGAGGACGGACCAATTGCGTTGGTGCCACAGCTCCCCGCGCTTCTTCCTCCCGCCGCCCCTCTCAACATCCAAGCTATTCCCCCCGCCTCGTACTAAATGCCTCCCTTTTTCTCTTACACCACTCTCCCCTATCAACTCACGGAGGGCCCTTATCCTATGCGCGAGTTCTCAGAGCATTTGCTGGAGCTGGCCGACGTGGAGCTGCTGCCCTTCACAGACAAAGACGTGTGGGAATTGCACCGCGAGCTATACAAGTCGATGGTGTTGGGGATGTTCCGATTCTTCGTGGATCACGAAGACCACTGCATCGGGGAGCACTCGTCGTTTATTACGTCATCACGTGGCCCAAGCCGGCGCAGAAGGAGGGGACGGTGGCGTTGTACCCCTTTGCCCAGTTCCAGACAATCGATCCGGGATTGTTGGAGCTCATACATCTTGAGCTCCTATCCATTGCGCAAGTGATCGCGAGCGAGGAAGAGGAGATCCAGCCACAATTGCGGACGGCGGCTGCCCCGCGAAGAACGTACAGGCCCCCAAAAAGACGCCGAAGAGGAAGAAACGCCACCCATCGCCAGGAGCGCAAGGCAGTCGAATCGGTGGCGGCGAGGAGGTGGTTCAGCCCGTGCACGCGCGGAGTCCCGACCCTGTGCCTGTGAGGGCGGCGACGCTGGTTAAGGAGACGGTCGTGCCATCGCCGCCCCTCCCACGCGTACCCAATCTCAATCTTGATGGAGCCGGGCCATCAACCGCAACAGCCGGAGGAGGAAGCCGAATGGGATTACCGGATCCCGTATCCAGACCCCCCGTCCTCGCGGGACCTTTCCGCTTCCGCCAGCCACCCCGGAGTGCCCCGATCATTGACATTAGCAGTTCCTCCGAGTCGGACGGTCCACCCGACAGAGGTGGATTTCATGGCGGAGCCCACCACCATCAGGCTCGAGGCCATTGCGGGGGCGCCGCGCCCTGATCCGGCGTGGGAGCCATATCTGACACCCCCTTTTCAAGGGTGTATCGCGACGCGGCTGGTGGTGACGCTCGTCTACGAGACCGGGCAGCGTCCCAATGTGATGTATCACTTCCTTGTCTTCGCGGCGCAGAAGCGGGAGCGGCGGCCCTACACCGAGACTCATTTGGTGATGACGGGTCCCGGACCACGATCGGTGCGCAAACGGGTGGTGCGAGCGGTGGCAGATCTGGCGCCACGTGTCCTGTCTCATGTACCGGGGGCCTTTCTCTATCCCTCGTTCGTGCAGCACCCCTTCCATGAGGAGGACGCGCCGACGACTCCCGCGGCAATGGCCGCTTTCCTTCCACCTATTCCGCCCCCTCTTAATCCCGACATCGATATATATATATACAATAGATTTTTAGAGGACTACTTACCGATCGGGCCAGCTGACGATGAAGGGGCCGCCCGATCGGATGTATAATATGAGGGAGATGACCGACGATGCGAAATGCATCGAAGTAGATTAGGAGATGATTGGGCCAGCTGACGATGAAGAGGCCACCCGAGCATCCAAAATATGATGACATCAGCAGTCAGGAGACTACTAATTTTTTGGAACCCCCTGCGCATCACAGATGTGATAAGCTCAGACCCGTACCGCGCGGCTTGCCATATCCTTGAGGAAAGAAACCCCGAAGTACAGATGCGAACAAAAAGGGGGTTTTCTTTCTTTTTACTTTTGTTTTCTTTTTGTAACAGCTTTTTCACTTCTCTTTGGTTAATAACTCCCGCGCGGACGAATAACGGCCGCAGTATGAAAACCAAGAAACGGTTTCGGTTGGAACTTTTTGAATTTTTGCGCGTGCGCCTAAGCTCTGACTTCTTCGCGCGCCTCGCACCCCCGTTTCTTGCTTTGCATCCCCGCGCCATCTTCCTTTCTTGCTGCGCGCGTTTCCCCCATGCAGAACTCTTCGTCTTCCCCTACGCCCAGCTCGATCCCCACCCCGTCTTCCTCCGCAAGTGAATGGCTGCGTAGTTGGGATGCGCGGATCAATGTGGAAGGCGAAAAGGCGCACCACTTGAACGAACACCCCAATCACGCCCGACCACGCGACTCCACGGAACACCTCTTTCGAAACCCTGCACCCTTCTTCTGTCCTGCTCGTCTACAACCGGCGCGGCCCGCACCTCGCGCTGACAACCCGCCGCCTCCCATGCTATAAATTTTCGCAACCCCCTCCTCTCCTCCTCTTTGATCTCAGCTGCAATGTTGCGCGAGCTATGCGTGAACGTCCGCGACGCCGAACAGGCTTGACGAGCCCAAGTTACGGGCGGAGTGACGACGTGGGTCGGGCTTAGCGATGGACTCGAGGTAAGCCATCTAGAGGGATTGAGCAGTGGTGGAGATCGGACGCCGATCACGACAGGGTCTTGTGGCTATGGTGGTCGGTAGTCCTTGGGAAGTTTGCGGCTGCGCCTGAGGGCGTCAGCCAATTGGAAAATTTTGTGGACAATGAAACTTGCTTTTTTTTTCTCCATTGCTGCTCTGTCTCCGTGAGATGTACACAACGTCCCGTCGAGTGGGTAATCAGTTGTATGCATGGAAGTGAGTCGCGGTGAGATGGTATGTGAAGGGGTGTGAGTCTGCGTATGCATGTATGTGGTCCTTCGGTATTGCGTGGCGATTTTCTGCCTGGATGCATGATTAAGTCGGCCATTGTACCTCTTTTTCCTTTTGCCTCGTTCCCCTGTTAGTTCCGTTGCTCGATCGAGTAGGGCGAGGGCCTTCGCGTACCGAAGGGATCCCTCCCGTTCTGCTCGCTCGAGTCGGAGTCCCGCGGCGCCGACGTCTGACATGGCGCATCGCTGTTGAGGACCGGAGACGTTCGCTGTGCCCGCTGAAGGTGGTCAGCAAACGGCTCCGCCCCTCCGCTCGGACCCCTCGGGTTGA